GGTTGCAAGGAAGTCTGGGTGGCAGCGTGTGGATATCGTTGGATGGAGTGATCGAGGTCATGATCCGGAGATTTCCTCTCTTCGTGGTTTGTTTGTGGAGGTCGTTTTTTGTCCGGACTGAGAGAAGGAGGTATTAGGAGGAGTATGTCGCTCATCCTGCAGGGAAAAGGTTCGTCTTTAGGGTAGAATCAGTGTGTTGTGTTTGTGAGAATCAGGCAGCGCGGGACTGTAGTCACCACTACGCGTGTCTACGCCGCGTGTGGTATGGTCTAACCGTGTTGTATGTCCTGCCTTGCTGTGTTACGGTGTGCTCTGTCTTTGTGCGTGCACGGGGGGCGGGGGGGGCTTTTACCCCCGCGACTTGCTTGAAATTTTTCCACATAGGTTTATCTAAGCAGCGCGGTGTGTACCAACGGGCATCTTTTGTGGGTGGCGAAGGCAGAGGCCGGCAGGCGTTGATCGGTGACTTTGCGGGAGAGGAGCTAGAAATAAGAAAGTTGGCGCGGTCTAGCCTCATAGCTATTTTATCACCATATTTTCGGTCAGCTGCCTATTTTGCGGCCTGCCTACCTTTAGAATGGGCAGTGAATCGCCCTGCCGAAGCTGATTTTGTTTGAGAGCTCGGCGCACAGGCGCACAGCGTGCGGCTCGGTCTCGCAACAACATCCGTAGTAGTCGCGCTAGAGTGGAGATAGAGACATTTGACTTCGGGGAGACAGCTTCAGGCACTCCCTAAACGTTCATACAAGCGATTATTATTGTGTTGGGGGTGGATGTGAGCGTGGATGTATGCAACATCATTATCGGTCAACTTGATTTGAACTAATTTCGTGCCTGAGAAGGGGCAACCGGGAGTAGAAGAAATGAGACTTGGGGGTGCACCTGTGCGTGGATGGGTATTTTTCTTGGTACTTTTTCCCAGGGGAAGAGGGCTACTACCCGGCAACGCGCGGTAACGAGCTGCCACCCGAAGCATGAGATGACGGGCGGCCGGCCTGGGCAGACGAATGGGGCCAGGAGAGCACTACGTAGATGGGGCACACAACTTCTGTGTGTGCGCCATTGAGTAGAGGAGAGCCTGTCCATGTTGGTTTTGCTTCATTTGTTGCATCATGATAGGAAACGCCTCTACTTTCCGACAAGGTTCAACTCCTCGCGACAGGGTCTAGTCGACACTAATAACGGATTGTTGAGCACATGGATGGAGACTGCTGAGCTCGAAATTACTTGACTTAATAGGAAGGGCGGGTTGCGCCTTTATTCTCTTGCAGTTTCCGACCCTCGGTCGTTTGGCATGTGACACGTGACATGTGATAGGCACGGAAACACGTGGGCTGGACACACCGACCGGCGAGATATAGCCGGCTCCGCTGGTGTACAGTTGTAGTACGAGGGGAAAAAACACTCTTTTGTTGCAGTGGATTCTTTGGCCACACACGCACGTGTCCACAGGTGGCCACTGGTACACGTTGTACGGGTACGTTGCACAAGGTGTACCTATCTGCGTTGCATCCCAACGGCACAACGTACCTACTTTGTGCCACCCACCGGGCACAAGGTGCCAAGCTCATGCAACCTTACGGGCACAAGGTGTTCAGGTCGTGCAACCCAACGGGCACAAGGTGCCGAGGTCGTGTAACCCTACACGAGGTGTTGAGTTTGTGCAACCTTACGGGCACAAGGTGCTGAGTTCTTGCAAACCTACGGGCACAAGGTGTTGACTTTGTGCAAACTTGAGGGCACGAGGTGTTCAATGTGTGCAACCGTTGTTCCGGTATGGCGTCGCCACAAGTATTTTTCGTAGTTGTCTCGTATTTTCGTGTCCTTCTTGCGACTGGTTCATGCACACGCCATGGCGATGCGCTCAAACAAATTAAGCAACATTTGAAGCAGATTAAACTTCCGACCAAAGACAAACGGATCCCGAACACCGATTGATTCCAAACGACTAATAATAGTTGCAATAGCAGAGTAGCAGTTGGATTGCTACGGCTCCTTCGAATGGTCCTCAACCCCCGCTTTCACAAAAATCCAGAGGGATCTCATTCTCGCAACAAATGATCAAATCCACCCACAGTACATTCCCGAGGACTGATGTGGAAACAACCGATGTCGAATCTTGCGACACAAATTACAAACCGGCTGCCAAAAGCAGTCCCGTCAATTCATTGCACAACAGTATTTATTTGCGTGTGCGAAGCTCCTGATCCAAAAACCGTGTCAAGCTCCATTGGCAACAAGAAGAATTGAATCTCGAAACTTTGCCCCGGTGGTTTGAGACAGATGTCAACACGACAGCGAAGTAACCCAAAACACAACACGAATATCGTCAAGTTGCCTCCCAACTCCCACTGATGTGCCGCGAGTCTGTCCACCTGGGAGTGGGCGTATCGGGAAATGAAACCGGCAGGGAAGAGGGGTCGTCGTGTTATTCCTGCGTTCAATATCTGGTTGAACATTGGGGCTGAACATTGTGGAACACCCGACGCCGTCACTGACAAGGCCGCAGGCTAACCTCAAAACACGAAGAGCTACAGCTTGACAAGAAAAACATGGGCGCGAGAACATTGACCATATTCCTCCGGCATGCCACAGAGCGCCGTCGAACATGGAGCAATAGTAGTCTAGCAGTCTCAAGAGAGACGCGTTCTATGCTGCTAGTCCTGATATTTTCTGGTCACTGTACACTCTGAGTTCTGCCGGCGCACCTACAACACATAGGAAAACGACGGAATCCATGGGATACTTACGTAGTATCTCTCCCAAGAGGCGAGATCAACGTTTCTGGCTGTGCCCCTCCACCCACCAACAACAACTTGACGGAGGTTTGACGTGTTAAAAGTGTTTTCAATATTTTCACTTCAGGCGCAAGAACATGGAAAAGCGCACTTACTTGTGCACACCCCATCTCGAATACGGAATATTTGTGTTCTGTTGAAGACACACGAGGTTCGAAAAATGTTTTCAATATTTTCACTTCAGGCGCAAGAACACATGGAAAAGCGCACTTGTGCACACCCCATCTCGAATACGGAATATTTGTGTTCTGTTGAAGACACACGAGGTTCGTCAGTGCAACACTGCGTTCTACTCCGCAGCACATTCGAATGCTTGGCGTTGGATATTATATGACGACTGTAGACTAGGTCCCACTTCAATCTGTTTCCCAGCTCTCTGTAGTACGTGCTCATCATCATATATATGCGGAAAACGAACACCTACAAATGAAAATCAAACGAGTCGAAGAACACTCACTCACTGTGAAAAAAGCAACAATCTCGTAGATAATGCACACACGACGACAACAGCACGGCAGCAGGAGCGAGGTGCACGAATAGCATGTGAGGATGCAGGAATCAACCTAGCTAGGAGATACACTTGCCATGCCATTTCGAAGTGACGGTTGTCGGAGAAAGATAGCACTTGCCCGGGAGGATCGTTGTCGCAAGTAACTCCGCAAGCCACTGATCGTTCGCGGGGGACGTACAGGTAGAGCGTTTCATCGCGCACGTCGAACGGACCAGCTTCACGTCGTTGGTGTACGCAATGGCAAAGGCGGTAAGTTTCGAGTAGATCAGAACGCCGACATGCGGACAAAATCTCGTGTCGCTTCTGTTTAACCTTACGGACTGCCGTCACGCTAGGAGCGTGGAGATGGCACACCTGTGGTCTTTGGGCGCAACGCTGTGCATGCTGAAGGCATCCGTGCCACACGCCCTTTGGCGTGCACCGCCAGACGGAAGGAAGGGCATCCTGTTTCGGCGGATTCGCTGCTGCACATCATTTGAATCTAGGCCTACCGCAAAGAAAGCTGTTTCTACAATAGGCATACTTACTTTCGTTCAAGACGGAAGATTTTATCGCGCATATGTAATGGTTTATCCTAAAGGGTACCGCCGTCGAAGGGTCGAAGGCACTGCTGTCTGCCAGATGTAGGCTGTGTGATAGATGGTGCTACCTATGTGTTCTTAGCCTGCCCGCCCGTGAGGGTCGTGACGAGGCCGGGTATAAGTTGTGTGTGTGTTGTGTGTGTTCGCGCTAGTGTTGTTGTGTATCAAGAAATTTACGGGGGGTATATGGATATTGATATATACCCCCCCGTTGAAATCGGATATTGATATTTTCTGATATTTGAGGAAATCTCAAAACAGGTTCGGATATATAGGGGGTATATATTGGGGTATATACTGGGGTATACCTAACATCTGATATATTTGAGGTATATATTGGGGTATATTTGGGGTATATTGAAGAGATCATCACGCTCACGAGAGCAGGAGGAGCACGTACGTACCTGACTGACGGCGTTACTGTATGTATCCAATAGCTGTACCAGTTGATCATCTACTACTACGTTGAATCCGCGGATATAGTGGCAAGTTGCAACGCTCCTTTGATCCTGCTGCTGTCATCATCAGGCTCGCCAAAGACTCAACAACAGCGAAGAGGATCGCAATTAATTGCTAACTGCCGGCGTATGAATGACCGCGAAACCATTATTTTTCATTGAACGAAAACAAGAAGACGTAAATAATACATCCAAACAGCTCTCTGAAAAAAGCAGTGGCCAAAATCGGGTACACCCGGTCCAAACACGGCCATAATCGGGTACCCCTACAAGATGCTGCTGGGAGCGACCACATGCCACCATCTGGTTGGCCGACGCCCGCCCCTACCCGACCTTGACCGCCTTTCCACCGGGTGCACCCGATCTTGGCTACTCACCCCCCGGAGGAGTACCCGGTTTTTCTTTCCCCAAACCGAAAACGGCTGGGCTGTTCGACCAAAACCCATGCACACAATCACGGGTCGGACGCACACCACTGGCCCTCGAATTCGGACCTTCTGACGGCCCGGCGGGGGGAGGCAGACCCCCCGCCGGCGGTGGAAGTCTCCCTTGGGGGAAACGGCTGGCGGTCTGTGCAAATGACCGAGAAGAAGAAAGAGCTGGATCAATACCTCCCTCACGAGATGCGACACACGCAGGACTCATCTCAAGAATAGACATATTTCTCTCCCTCCCGCTACTTTCTCATTATTGGCGACAAATGAGGGCCAGCCAGTGGTGTGCGTCCGACCCGTGGTTGTGTGCATGGGTTTTGGTCGAAGAGCCCAGCCATTTTCGGGTTGGGGAAAGAAAAACCGGGTACCCCTCATCCCGCGGGGGTGAGTAGCCAAGATCTCCTGTCTCCTTCACGACCGAGGGTTGGTTTTCTTTACCACACCACCTCCTGCTCGTCGTTCTGCTGGCTGCGACCCGGAGACGACCAACTCGATGGGAGATGCTGCCGAAGAGGGGGACGCTGCCGAAGCAGGGGATCCCTTTGCCGAAGAGGATCCCTCTGCCGAATATGATTCACTACGTACAGATGACTGTGGGACTCCCGACATGGTAGTGTGGTGGTAGTGTGCCCAAGAGAGTATCAAGAAATATTCAAATGTATACCCCGATATATTCCCGAACAGTATTCATATCAAGAAATATACCCTATATATTCGTGATATATCAGATATGCACTTGATGTATCAATTTCCTGATATATCCGGATATTGCCCTGAAAAAAAGCCGATATTGATATATCGTATTCAGGGGTATATTGTATGTTTCCTGATATATGAATTTCCTGATACACAACACTAGTTCGCGCGCGCGGGGTAACGGGCACTATTGAGGGTGACAGGTGACAGCAGCGCCGAACCGGCACAAAATATACCGGGCAAGCTCTCAATAGTGCCGGTCTGGCACTATTGCGAGCACCGCCTGTGTCCAGATATTTTACCGGCGCTATATCGGGCACCTGGCACTAAACAGGTCCCCCTACTGTACATGCTTTTCTCACAGACGCTGGACACAAGGACGGACACGACCACAGGAATGCAGGTCCGCACACCAATCACCATGTGATCCAATTCACCCATGTGCAGGTCCATCCAGGTTCATCCAGCAGGGGGAAAGAGAACGTCTGCCCATCACCAACAATCCCCAGCGGGACTGCAGCGTGTGATACGCTTACGCCGTGGGGGTGGCCGACGACAGGAGAGCCGCGTGCACCAGGTGGGTGTTGGGTCTGTGTCTGGATTTCTCGAAAAGCTCGTTTTGAAGGAAGGCCTGCTACATGGACTTGCACGCTGGGCGTGTCTCTGTGACACACGGAAAACGATTCCACCGACAAAGCGAAAAGGGCGCGCTTACAAATACGTACAGCAGCAGTAGCGAGCACTCCCTCTCTCTTGTACCACGCCAGTAGGGGTCTTGGACCATGGCTCAAATCTCGACTCATACGTATTTGAAGGAAGACCCTTGGAACACCAGGCCGAGAGATGTTCCACCAAACCACACCAAAGCGTGTAACAAAAAAAACGGCGTCAGATGCCGGACGAAACTATTCTGTGTACGGCATCGAAACGGACGTATCTAGATGTACCACAGACATGGACTGCATCAACGTCTAGCTGTCATTTAGATGCACTCGTCTGACACACCCCAGTCTTTAGACGACAACTACCCGGCGGTTGCAAAAGATACCACACCCGTGCGATCGCTGTGTACTGCATTTGGCTTGTGGTGAACTGCTGTACAGGTACCAGCTGTGTGAGGGGGTGTGATATCTTACGTCACGCCTGTGTCGCCAGCGTGATGAAGTGCGCTCAACCCCACGTACAGCGCATTAACCCTTTTGAGTCTTCAGGCGTTCTCACTGATCATTGATTGATCATTTGCAAATGCTGGTGTAGTGGCAAGTCGTGGAGTTGCCGCGCTGCAGCCCTTCGCGCCGTGTATTGGCAAGTCCATAGGTAGGTATGTCTAGATTATTAGGACCCGCGCCAACCGGCTGACCAATGAAGAGACTTCAGTGACAGCGGCGGGTAATATCAAGGTCTCGGGAATGGGAATGGGGCCAATCAATGACAAATCATGAATCTCTCAACGTATGCATATGTCAATGAACGCGTGTGTGCATAGATACATACATACATATGTGTTCTTTCGCAGCACCACACATACACTCGCCCGAACGTAGGAAGCCACTGCTGCTGCAAAGAGCAGAGGGCAGCAAAAGGGAGGGGTGTTGCAATCCCTGCCGAAGCCCAGATATCGAGGATGTCGTGGTTCCCAACACTTTGAAAATCGTTCCCAAGACCCAGCAGTCATTGTGTCAGCAGCTACAACGAACGCTACAACAACACTACTACTACTGCTGTAGACGAGTAAAACATATCAGCAACACATCCACACTCGTAACACTACACATACCACCCTCGCTCGAACCTAGGAAACCACGAGGTACAGGTGTGTGCTGGTGGATGTGCATGTTGTTTGAAAAACACAGGAGCTCTAGAGAGCTGGCAGGGCACATTTCGGGGGGGGGGCAGAGAACAGAGAAGTACAGAAGTACAAACACCGGCTATGGGTCTTCACTGATCATTTTGCCCTCTCTGGACTGATCATTTACAATATACCGAAAATAGACTAGTTGAGGCAGCTAGACGACTGATCATTTCAAAGTCTACACAGCTAACCTGCCCTACTGACCGCAGCGCGACCACCCATCAACCCTTCTACGACCCTGTCCGTGGCCACCACCCTGTCGCCGGCTTCTCTCATGGCCTACAGTTGGAGATAGCTGTTGCGTGTGCAGAAGTACACTGGTGTCTTTCTCTGCACTTCTCTCTCTCCCGCTCGCTCTCGCTCTAATTTGTTTTTTGGCGCAAAAAAAAAAAACTGACAGTCCAGCCTAGACCCAAAGGGGTTAAGGGTACTCGTAACGTACAACGTGGGCGATAGCCTGAAGTGGCACACGCGGATTCATGACGCTCTTCCCTTTGGAATTCCTCGCACTCAAAAAAGCATGTATCAACGTACGGAACTTGAAATCTCGCAATGCCGGTAATCAGAGCGCTGTACTCGGCGGTACGATGGGTATCTGTAGGTAGTATTACAAGCTGTGTGCAAAAAATGAAAGCACATATTTTTTACTGAACGATGACAAGGCGACCACGCCGTGTCATTTCAGATGTGCGTTTATCGTTCATCACTCCAGCTGACACTACAGCGCAGTATATGGGAAACAAGCATTTGCCAGCAACAAATCAACAAGAGCTTTGCATAGAACCAACATATGCATACTTCATACGAAGGAGGCACTCGACTGCCGCCCCAAACAAATGACACACAAAGTTTTTTTTTTTTCGTCCCATCTCTGGCGCCGCCTGCCTACTCCTCTTCGGCGCACACTGCACGTTTGCCGCGTATGTGCACTTACACTTCTCAGCGTACTTGGTACACGCACCGTCCGGGGTCACACAGGACGGGGAATCAGCGCCGGTTTTTTCTTCTTTTATCTTCTTTTGTCCCCACCTACCTCCTGCGGTGGCTGCCTGAGATATTTTTATCGCGAGGAGGGCAGCAATCCCTTCCCTCGCGACGGTTAAGTCGATGTCGACAATGAAGTCGATCAAGTTTACTAACAACGAGCTTTGCAGCGCGTCGCTTCCAACTTAGACCAGGATTTATTTAGAGAGAAAAAACTCATTATGCCCGGACTCAAACCCCATGACCTGGCCCTTGGTATGCTGCGAGGATACCCACTAGACCACTGGGGTGACAAGAAGGGTGTACACTGTAGAGAGAGACCTGTTGGGCGAAGTGGCTTACGCTGTGCAGCGAGGGACGCTGTCCTCTCGAGCTGCTGGCGTGGTTATGCGAGGTGTAGGTAGGGTGAACACAAAGTGATTTATTATCCACACTCAGACGCCTCAGACGCCCAAGCTGTCTTCACCTGACGGCTACAGACTTGGAAACACGCCTCCACAATACTGCACAGAACCAATGCAGTAGAACCAGTCGTTCTTATACACAAATGCTCCAACAAGAACCTCAATCGCCCATCGCCACAGGTAACTCCTAGATGAGAACGGCATACGAGGTTGGACCCTTGACGACGTGATTTTTGAGAGCGTTGAGTTGTGCAGGCATCCGCCATGCATCAGCGTTAAGATCGGCCGCTACAGCATAAATTTATTTAGGCATAAAATATCCCCCCGACAAGAGAAGAAAATGGCCGTTCGCGTGGGGTCTGCGGATACAGCAGCACTATCCTGCAGCGCCGAACAAATGCTTGTATGACTTGGAGATTTGGTTTTGTATGTCACCGCCCACATTCCGGACAAAGACGGTGTGTAGACTTCGAGAGGGTTTCAACAAAACAGTCTACGCAGCAAAATTGATTTAGCGAACATATGGGATAAAGTATTCAATCCGTGCTTTGGGGTTAGGGCTAGGGATAGGGATAGGGTCTGCGTGCCCCATCCTTATTATTTTTCTAGATACTCGTAGGCGGTCGAACACTTGAGGAACAGTTGTCTACGGACAAACTTTTCGATGATAAGTTGGCTGGTCTGTACCAAGTTGTTTTGTTTAGTGTGGAGTGTTCGAGTCGCCTGGGGGCCTTGGCCGGCAACTGCGATGCCGTTAGGGGCAACATAAGAGCATAGCCATCGATGACCACCCCCCATTTTTGTTTTTCCGCCCATGCTATCTGTATCCTAGTACTCCGGAGACATGAAGATCCGGCGGGTGCTTTTCCTTGTGGCGACACCTGGCATGCATCCTCTGGCCGCCACCGCCGCCACCGTTACCCCGAATGCTAACACCAAGACTGCTAGCGGTGACCGGAATAACGCTGGAGAGAAAACTGCACCTACCGCGGCAGGAGTCGGCGGTGCCTCCCGCGCGCATCCCCACCTGGGCTCCTTGGCGAGTGATCTCGACGCGTGTTCCACGGAGGCTAGCAGTTGCCTAGACGACCAAGTGTGAGTACCAGCAGCGACGAGAACACATCCTATTCCCCCGTGCAGGGTTTCGCAACTGGCAGCTGCGTTTGTTGCTTCGGAGGTTTATCTTACTTCGCTTACGATGACTACAGAAGTGGTACCAGGCAGAGTAGAGCGAAAGTCTTCGCAGTTTTTCTAATTTTGCAAACACTCCTGGATTATATGTAGTAAGGATAAGCTGAGTCGGCCTTCGAGTTATGGTCTGCGTGCCCCCTGCCTGGTCATTTTTCGAACGAACATGCTCTCTTTGCGTTGTCAGTCCGAATAGAGTTGCCCGGAGTGCTTGGGCCACCCCCTCCTAAGCGGTGCGCCTCCCGAGAAAGGAGAAGAGTAATCCAACCACCCGCGATTCGCTTCCGCCGCAGCGTCAACACCTCCTCTCTCTCTCTCTCTCTCTCTCTCTCCGGGACATACATGCGGGACCCCCGCACGCCCAATGCCGCAGGTGCCTGGAGTGCATGACGTCCTACGTGGACCACCCCCTGGAGTACCAATCGTGCTTAGACAACTATGTCACCGACTGGGCGTCTGCGACGGTGTGCGACGGAAGAGCAGAGCAGCCATGCTGCGCCAACTTCGTTTCTGAGGGAAATTGCCTCGAAAACGAACCCTTCATAGAGTGAGCAACGAAAATTGTTGCTGGAATTCTGAAATAGATGTATGTGTCGTTGGAGCTGATAGACGAACGCTGTCAGAAGAAGCAGGGGTTTCGGTATCACAGCTGTTTCGATATTTTCGTCTCGCGGCCCTTCGTCGGAACGAGTGTTTTTGTGTGCTTGGATTTTGTGGTACTTCCTTTCGCGTGTCTCTTCTTCGACTTTGTTCTTCGCATCGTCAGCACTCTGAATCCGACCGTTTTGGGGGGAGGTTTCTACAGTGTATGATATGGGGAAAGACAGACGCTGCTTTGCGTTGGGCACACCGGATTCACCCGGGGCGATGTAAGCGTACAGCGGAAGCGACTCCCCGGTACTCGGGCTTGGTCTGGTGGGTTTCTCTTATGACTGACTCTCTCTCTCTGTGGCGGTGGACCAATACCGTTGCGACCTAGAAAGGTGTGGTTGGGAAGATGACCCCGCTGGTGCGTGTGTCCGATCCGTACAGAGGTGCTATACCTCCCTGTCGTGTGCCGCCAGGGAACAAAAACCAGCGTGTTCAGGTGCTTATGTTCACCCTCCGCTGACATCGCGCGAGACACCGATCACCATCCCCCCCAATCATGGCACCCTACTGCCGCCGCTGCTGCTGCTGCTTTGCAGGTACTGGAAGTGCAACCTGGGCTTGTTCGACGGGTGCGTGGACTACGACATGACCTGCCTTGGCACCGAGGGCATGACCGAGGACCTGGGCCTCAACACCAGCACCGCCAGCACCGGCACCAGCGCTAGCAGTAGTACCAGCATCGTGTCGGATGCGGTGGTGGAGGATGTTGCGACGGACGAAAGCGGGGCTGCCAGGAAAACCTTCGTCATGGCCAACGTTGTCGTCGCGACGGCGTCTGCGCTGCTAGCAGGGATTGCCGCAGTTGGCTCGTGGCTGGGTTAGGGAAACACACGCGAGAGCGGATGGATGCCGGATATTGCCCCCTCCATGCGGAAGCCACGCCAGCGGCAAACGCGGCACCTAGGGGTCACACCCCGGCCGCCGCCCCTGCTGCCAAATATGTTCACCGTGTGTTGCTGTCGAGGCCATGCCGAGTTGTGCTGTGCGTGAGGTTGTGTTGGCAGATTTGATCATGGCAGCCGCGGGCAGCAACGACAACATGGTGGGTGGTCGGTCAGCGTTCTGTCGATGTTGCGTTTTCTCTTGTGGACGACGAATTTACTCTTTTTGTGGCCACGTCCGTGTATGGTGATGCATGCCTATTGTTTTGGCGATGTATGGCATTGAAACTCTATGATGTTTGGTCTGTGCTTTGGTTGCCAGTGTTGAGGCCTTTTACGAAGTTTTCAACGAGTACCAAGGTGATTGGTTTTGCGAACCTCAGCGAAGTCTCCTGTCGGGATTAGATGTATGTACGTGCATTGGGTACTCTGCTACTTTTTCAAGCACTTTTTTGCAGCATTCGTACAACTGTCCATTGGTGTATTTCCATACCGTGTATTCGTATACTCAGCATTGTTCGTAGCGCTGAATGTACATTCATGTATCCTCATTATATTGATTTATTCCGTAGGCAACACTTGACTGTCTCTTTGCCTGGCTGTCCGATATCCTGTTCGGCTGTCTGTGTATTTGTGATGATGTATTTTCTGTCGCCGATCAATCGACTTGGTGGTGTCTTGTCTCAGTTTTTCTCTCGGTCTTGTGGGTGCCCGTTGGAATCCATAGATCCCCCCACTGGTACAAGTGAGTTACGTCCGGACGGGTGGTGCGACCAACGCCGCCGCGGTGACGTAAAGGGTTTTCATGTGGTATCAACCTGCGATCACATGCCTTAAATTGGGTATTTTCTTCTGTTTGTTTTCTTTCCTGCAGCGTGCCCTACCAGTTGTCCGTTTCCTGACCACCGACGGCGTGCTTTTTTTCTTGCCCCGGTTCTTCTCCAAGTTTTGGATGCAGCAACTTGTTTTCCATTCCTGAGGGATGATTTTGTGGTTCGGGCCACCCCCCCTTGCTTGCGTCTTGTCCACGTCATCGCGGGGGTAAATAGACTTTCGGATAGGTTTAGATAGCTCGCTGCAGTAGTGAAGGAAAGTCGGTCTGTCTGTATGTCCGCGTGTTGTGTGCTTCCATCTGCGTCGTTTCTTTGTGGACACAACGGATCATGGACCAACCCCGGATGCTTTCGATCATCGGGTGTTCTCCTGTAGACCTCTTGGGGTGCGATCGGTTTGAGGATAAAGAGATTTCGGGCATCACACTGCGAACAGGTATCCCATATGTTGAAGTCGGGCTCATAGAGGCGGTGGCGGGAACCGACGCGGAACATCCAGGTCACAGCGGTGGCAACGGGGGGGGGATGGCTGGTCTTCGACGCTGCTGCTGGCGTTCGTGGTCTTGGTGCATGTTTTCCTCCGGCAGGACACAGGCCGATGTACCGCTCAGTTGGTGGCGTATAGGCAGCAACAGAGTTTATGCGAAGCGGGATAAGGGCGTGTTTAACGTCCCGTGGGGATTTGGTGGGTGCCAACCGTAAGAAGATGCTCGCTCGCTTTCTACGGTAAGACCTTATGTGGCTCGCTGTTTTCGCGACGCGGTGGGTGCAGGTGGCCCGGCCTCCACTGAGGCACTGTCCTTTTCTCCCAGGGACGAAAAACGTTTGTGTGCGGTTTGATGAGAGTTGAGTTTATCGACGTGGTGAGTTGTTGGTGAGGTTGGACAAGAGTCCATGCTATTATTGGAAAGGGAACAAAATACAAAGCAGTTGAGATCTTCTGAGAAAGCGCAACCATTTCCCCTGTTGCTATGGAGGCATGAACAGACGTCGCCGAATCACGGAAGGCGGACATAAGCCTCGAATGTCTTATAAGCCAGGAGAGAACATGCGGGCATTTTCCGTTGCAAGTGGTCACGATTCGACCCGACTTGTGTTCGGAGCACCATTTTTGAAATTTCCGCCGGTGGCAGTAGAGGCGGGACCAGAGGCGACAAATGTTTTGAATTGGGTTTCCCTGATGACACGTCTGGTTCAGGTTTGTCGAGGGATGACTGCGCGATGGGCACACGCGCTAACATATTTTTGTACAGCTGTTTTTTTGCGGGCGAGGTCCGCTTTTTGGGAGCAGAAACATCGGTCGTAGGCGGCGTGATGTTCGCGTGGTGTGTGGGCTTGTGAAACTGGGCATCTGCGGCGGGGGGGATATCGGCTGTGCGGCGGAACCGCTCCTCACTCGGCTGCCCTTGAGACTGAAGGAGGACGCCTATCCTGTAGTGGCGCATTGGACGGGGGCAAGCACGGGGCTCTACCTTTCGTCATTGCGAAGAAGCACCAGAAAACTTGAGAAAACGCACAGTTGTTGCTGCACTGACCGAAACCTTGAGAAACCGAACAAATGTTACTATATGCCCGGCTTGTCATGTAACACGGTCAAACACAGGGACGCCGCTTGAAGAGAAGATAAAAGTAGATGTAGTTGACTCAAATCCCGCGAAAATCAACCGCGTCCAGAGGAGAGACAAGAGTGAGCACGCCATGCGGATCATCGAGGCGCTCTAAATCGCTCACGAGTACAACACCAAGAAGGTTCGTTGGTCGATGTCACCACCGAGAATACAAACCTCGGTGCGGGCTGCGATCTTGGAATCATTCTCTCACATGTTCATCAACGAATGCACCAGACTCGCTTCCACTGCTTTATAGAGTTCCTGAAACACGAACATCCTTGGAAAATACCACAACATCATGAGAAGCAACACTTCTTCAAAACGCCACAAAACTACATCCAGTTTCTGAAATCGGAAATTCCAAGAACCGCCTATGAAAGTATGATACTCGTGAAACCTCGAAAAAAACGAATTCCAACGACCACATTAACCACAAAAAACACATTGCGGAAACACGGAGGCTTTAAATTTAATCATGCCTTGAATCATATGCCAACTTGTCACCCATCACATTAAGCAACATCATGTTTTCCCCGCACTACCACATTTTTGTTGATGTATTTTGTCTTTGGGGATCTTCTATTCCTTCCTCAGGTAACCGTACGTAACCCACGTACATCCAATACCAGCAGAAAACACAACGTGCACTATCGCAGAAAGTATCCCAACCAAAATAGGAAAACCCAACATGTCCTCCCTCCTCCCATCCCATACATAACATCAAACTATGCATGCTGCGTTTCGTCTTGTAGCCGAAGCACTACCCGAATTACCCCGCTGCCCGCACCAGGCCGAAGGACTACTATTGATGTCTTGCTATGAATATTCTTCCATGTTTACTAGTAGCAGAAGCTACTCGAACTACGTGCTCTGTCTTTTGATACGGCCGCCATTGCCCCCTCACTCCTCGGTCGGTGGTGTGAAGTGTGGGCTCTGGTGCATGCACAACAAACGCCAGCTAAGAAAACAGAACAAAAGGTTTTCCAACGCATTAACGAGGACCCGATCGTTCTTCACGAGCGTCCTCGGTTGACCATCCACCAACGTTCTCACTCACGTTGTGAAAGGTGGTGCCAGCCTCAGGGCCCACAGCCGTTTTCTTTCTTCACGTGTGGTACCTTGGAAGAGGCGCCGTCCTGGACAAACTCACTCTTCACCACAGGTTCCTCCGCGGCCACCGGGAGCGGGGACTGGAAGGGTGCGTCGGCTAGGACACCGTCGACCTTGACTTCCGTTTTCACCTGGGAATTGTGGAAACCCCAGGTGAACCACAAGAGTTGTCAGCCGTTGAGATGGACAATGGAATTGTACCACTGCTATCCGAGACAGCCACAACCGCCCACCCGCTCCTTCCCAGTGTCTTTTATCACGTCCCTCCTGCACGCCCTCCTCCACGCCTTCTACGGGGGAGGGTTTTCGCCTTCGGTGATCGACAGACACGAATGATAACATAAGCGAGATGATGCCTATCACATTGCAAAACAAAGCAAGCGAAGACAATACCGGCGTTTCGGTCCAAGGAGACATGCAACTTGCTGCCATGCTCGATACAGGTCTCTTTACCTTTATGTGAGAGGCCCCCGCGGAGACATTGCGGCCTTCTTTCTTCACCTTTGGTACCTTGGAAGAGGCGCCATCCTGGACACACTCACTCTTCACCGCAGGTTTCTCCGTGGCCACCGGGAATGGGAACTGGAAGGGTGCGTCCGCTAGGACACCGTGAACCTTGACTTCCGTTTTCACCTGAAAAAATGTGGAGAACCTCAGGTGAGTTGCGAGAGTAGTCAGCCGTTGAGATCGACAATCGAAATGTACCACTGCTATCCGAGATTATCCGAGATTGTGATAGCAACTCGACGAGTATCGTCGAGTTGCATTTCTGAACCTTTCAGGCTTTTCCAGCGGAGATGGGGGATGCGAATGAATTTTTCACCGAGCCACACGCAGACATCGAACGATGAGACTGAAGCTAGGCATGGTACGTGCTAATCTCTGATACGTTCATTGGTGCGTCGTTAGCTTCCCGGGCATGGGCGTCCCTTAGTGTCCCGATTTTGTCCTTGATCAGCGAGCTGGTGATGAAGGGGGCGATCAAGGGGGCGGACGTGGTGGAGAGGGAGTGTTGAGGAGTATGCCCCCCCCCGCAATACGCCAGGACTGTCGACATAGCCGCCAAAGTAGGCAAGCACCCCTGCATATTTGTAAACCTGCTGGAACGATAAACTTGGGGATCGAAGAGAAAGAAGAGCAAATAATATCATATCAACGTCTGCATCGTCATACGCGGGACATGTACTTCACCGTCTCAGGGTCGTTGTCGTCCACATTAGAGGGCACCGGTGATTTGAGGGGACTCGTTGGGCTGTCCGTCCTGGCACCTCCAAGCTTGAGAGAACGAAAGTCACCTCCCCGCGAACTGAAGTTCTGCGTGTTTCCGGCCGCAGTGATTCTGAAGCCGTACGGACGTGCGTGTTTGTAACTACGTCAGAAACACGGGTGCCACGAGAGTGCTAAGCGCGACTGCGGCTATCAACAACACCACGTGCTGGGTTCCGTACACAGAGAAAGCAGATATCCTTGCCTGGGTTCCGTACACACAGAAAGCAGTTATCCTTGCCTGGGCTCCGTACAAAGAGAAAGCAGAATACATCGACAATAATATTAGTATTGACCTCCTTCACATTATTTTATGACTAAAGGGCTACCTTCCGTTCCCTGCGCTCTCGGTTCTCCGACGACGTCTTGAGGTATTTCCCTCGGAGCTCTCACTCGACCTCTTCCTTGTTAGCCTGGATGGATATGGAACGGTTACGTAGCATAGCATTGGTTGCATGAATGCTCATGCCTTCTAGAATGTTTTGTTATCAGGAGCAGCTATGGAAGAAGGGCTTTTTGACTTTTTCTACAGTATATCATATAGAAATAGGATATTTTTCAACGTAAGGTTACAGAGTAGGTGAACCATCGACCACCCGACAGGGATGGGGAGTTGCTAATAAATCGAGGGAGAGAGAGAGAGAGAGAGGTCATTTGTCTACGATCAGGCGATAGGGAATGTGAATTTCCTCTCCTGGGTTCAGTACATACATACAGAGAGACGACATCGACAAAAGACACAGCAGCAGCATAGTTGAGCTGTCACGAACCAAACGGCGGCAACGACAGGTAAAAAAAGCTCGTGGTCAGCAGCATCACGTGCCCGATTGTTCCCTACGTTCCCTACATGAAGAGGGCACTCGTCTACGATCAGGGAAAAGGGGCCGAGAAGTGTTCAAAATACGTACATACCCGTTGGCCATGGCTCCTCCGCCGGTTTCAGCATCATCACCACTCCCGCTGCTGCCTCGCTCGCAATCACTGCCGCTCTTTGGTTCCCTACATGGAGAAAAGCGGCGACAAAATATGCAGAGGCAGCATGGTGGCAACGTATATGGTGCAAGATGGTGCAGTTGTTTACGAACAGCGACGCTTTCCCGTGTTCCGTACATCGAGCGAGAAGTCAGCTCCTCTACGACCAGGCGACAGGAATGGACAATTGTCGACAGGGACGGAGTATTGTTCAAGCGACATATGAACACATACCCGTTGTCCAAGGCTCCGTCTCGGGTCTCAGCATCACCACCACTGCCGCTGCTGCCTCCCTCGCTGCAGCTCCTTGGTTCTCTACATGGAGAAAGCGGTCGCCGACAAAAAGACGCAGCGGCAGCATGGTTGAGCTATCACCAAACTGGGGCAAGGAATGGTGCAAGATGGTGCGGTTGTTTACCAACAGCGCCGCTTTCCCGTGTTCCTTACATCGAGAGGCGAGAGGGGCGAGGAAATGTTGAAAAATGGTGCGGTTTTTTACCAACAGCACCGCTTTCCCGTGTTCCTTACATCGAGAGTCGACAGGGGCGGGGAAATGTTGAAAAAACTACATACCCGTTGTCCAAGGCTCTTTCGCCAGTCTCAGCACCATCACCGCTTCGGCTGATGTCTCTCTCGCTATCACTGCCGCTTCCCGATTTAGAAGCCCTCCCTACGCGAACTGCGGGGGTGGGACGTTCCGCCGCTGTAAGTCGAGTCACCGTCACCGTCACACTGTCGCCACGACCCAAACCCAGCTCGGCAATGACCCTTTCCGGCATCGTGAAAGGGAAAGCATGCTCACTGCCGGAACGGCGGATCGTCACGTTGGGCTCGTTCGTTGTTCCGTCGCCGCCTGTAACGTGATAGGACAGCAAAATATTGTGTAAGGCCCCAATCCGTGATTTGAAAGGCGTCACAGGTCGAATTATGGTCCACCTAACGCTACTCAGTTGCAAAACCGACAGCAGCCGAATATTTTTCGTTATTTTTCGTCATTCTCCACGGATGTGCGCAACAATCAAGCCAGAGCACGGTCTATCGGGCAGTAGAACATGTTCATACCTGGGCTGTCGCCGTCCCCGCTATCCACTGACTCCTCTCGCTCCGCTGACCCCCCGTGCCCCGTACTTGTGGTCCCGCCCCCCCCCTTGCCACTTTCAGGTTTCTTGCTTGCCATTGCTGAGAGACGGGCCTCGTCGAAGAACTTCTCTCCTTGCCTTGATTGCCAGCTTGCTGGGTTCGTCTGCAGCACATTCTTCACCCAGCTGTTCTTATCCAACGCGCCGAAGAAAGCGTCGAACTTGGTCCTATCATCCAGCACGCGCTCAACGCAGAGCATGGCGAACTCGACGGCCAGCTGTCGCGCCAGTTTACTGTTCACTTTGTCTTTCTCTTGAGTCCCTTCGAAGAGTAGAAACGTCGTCACTACGGCCTGATCGAATTCCACACGAGAGGCGTCGATCGAGATGTGGAGTGGTTTTCCGGGCCCCGGAGTCGTCACGGTCTTGTTCGACTGTCCAATGCGCCCGGACAGCGCCTTCTTATTGATGGCGGTTACGAACTTGTTCTTGTTACTACCAAGAGCGTAGATGACCGGCTTCCAGTAAGTCTCCAGGACATCTAGAAGTTGCTTCTTGCGCTTCCCATCGTCCGCTTCAAAGAGCGCTTGCTCCTCGGGTGAAACAAAGGTCGGTAGCAGCGCCGCCGCCCCCTCCACGACCATCCTATTCTCGCCATCAACTGCGCGCAGTGCTCCGCCAGCGATCGAAAGAGCAAGCATGCGAACGACATCAAGATGTCCCTCATCAAGCGCAAAATCCTTGACGCTATTGACGATTCCATGCTCGAGAATCACCGCTGCCAGTTTCGGGCTTGCCTGGGTCGTGCGCAGCAACCCGAAACATGCTGTGAGGCACTGCGGAAGTGGTTTGGATGCCGCCGAATCGAGACCGTTGAGCTCATCCTCCTTCCAAAATCTAGCCATGATGGCCTTGATGATGGGACTGTCTTCATCAAGCCCCTTGCCGTACACAAGTGACTCCCAGGAATTCCCCTTCATCTTCCGCAAGGCCCCTTCCCCCTCGAGGATCTTCTTTACGTGGAAATTAAGAACTTTCCACGCTGCCGCGACCGTTGCTTGCTCCGCTTTGTTCCGCGTCCCGTCCACGCTACCCATAGGATGCAGGTTCCGCCTCCAACCGTCACCCATCACCTCCTTGGCGTACTCCTCACATAGGCGAAGTTCGGGGTTATTCAACGCGCGCACTAGACGCCCAAGCCCTGAGATGACGGCGAAATGTCCAGGTTTCTGTACGGGCACGACCGGACGGCATGGCCGAATAGAACCATAGGCAGGAGAAACACCAACGTATTTTTGCAAACGAATCACTCGGTTTAATGTACGGTATGTAGGTGGAACCGTTCGTGCACCACACTTCCGAATATCTTGGTGCAGGGTCCAAACGGTGGGACCGTGCCAACCGCAGCATGGGTACTCTATTCATCCCTTTAGCTCTTGATGTGAAAAATAGATGCTAGTTTCTCTATGTAGCGAGACGAACGGCTAATGCTCTTGTTCTTTCATGCGATCATCATAATACGTGGTCCTCTATGTACAGCCGCTGCTGCGCTAGTTCCCTTATGTGAATATCTAAAAGTTAGTGCGACACGAACCGCGGCAGCTATCCGTGTTCTTTAATGCGAGAAAATCCTCACTGTTCTTACGCTTAGCCGCTGCTACGTACGCCAGGACACTCATTCATGCAAATATCTGATTGCTAGATTCTATATGTAGCGAAACGAACGGCTGCTGCTCTTGTTCTTTCATGCGATGATCATCATACGTTTCCTCTATGTAACGCCGCTTCTGCGCTAGTTCCCTCCGAAGTGAATATCTGAATGTTAGTGTATCTAGGTAGCGACACGAAGCGCGGCTTCCAATAGTGTTCTATATTACGAGGGACTATTCGTTGATCTGTACTTACAGCCGCTTCTGCGCTGGTTCCCTCATGTGGTAGTTGAAAAAGTTAGTTTCTGTACGCAGCGAGACGAACCGCTGCTCTCTCGTTCGTTTATGCGAATATTGTGAAATGTTATGTCATCGGTGAAGCGAATACCCTACTCTGTACCGAGTCATAATCCATAAACTGGCCGTTGACCGTTCACTTTGGGGTTATTTTCCCCCCTTACGTACTTGCTCCTCTGACATGTGGCGAGTAAGTGCCAAGCGTGGCCAATTGTGTCGTGCTAGTTTCAACAAGGGTTCACGTGGGCGAAAGAGGGCCCGCGCGGGCATCTCCACATCTCCGAGGATATGCATACCCCGAATGGCCAACTATTCTCTGGAAATTCTTGGTGGCAAACAGTCCAGAGAGGTAGAATGTTATTCGTAGTCCACACGGATCTTTACTGGTGGCATGTGTGTCCCTACCCACGGAAGATACCTACATGTCCTGGTATCCACATGAACGGTGTATGGAACCCCTGGTCGACCAAGAACGAGAGTCTCGAAGAATATCGATCTTTTGTGTACGTACGTAACGGTGGAATTCGGTGGGACTCAGAATATTGATTTGATCAAGCTTGGTTTGACGTCCATTGGTCAACGCATCCTCACCCGAGATTGGCTCTCGCCCTTGTGCAGGTTGGTCCCCTTTTCCGCGGCTGCAGCGTAGTCCAAGAAGTTGTACACGTTGACCTGGAACTTGGCATGTTCTCCGGTCAAGACTTTTGCAAGCTCCAAGGTTTTTGCGGCACCTGCACATTTTCGAAGGCGCGTGCAGTATGGGATAGTAGGCGCAAAAGGTTTAGAATTCCATGTCCGAAGGCTATACTCTACATCTTGAGGTGGAGTATACATCGCGAAGCGCTCACGAATCGATCACTCACATGCACGTGGGGTATATCGGCGGTCTCTTCCGTAGATCAAAATCTTGACATTGACCGCAACCAGGGATCCCGCCCATTCCTTTTCGCCGCGACATCTACGGCAAAGTATTTCCAGACCAACTCCCGTGCCTCGTGATCGAGGCAAGACCGACACAGAGACACCGTTCATAACGACCAAACCTATCCAGACCACATGTATTCTTGCATTAGAATGCGCTGTCCGCAGTATTCCGCGTGTGCACACCCACGCAACGGTGGTTGATAATATTCACGCGGGCTTCTTTGTTCGCACGGTTGACTGCGAATAACAGCAGTCGCTAGAAACATAGGATGGGTTGAAAACTGGCGCGCGCGAGCGAGTACACCATACACCTGACGGGTGAAAATGGCGCAGTCACCGGTGGGGTCAACTGCGACGATTGATTGTTCGTGCCACTTGTTTCTGCGTGGCAACTGCAAATTTGGCACGTGGGGCTGACTGCATCATTGGTCGCACGCATGATTGGTGACCAAGTAGGCTGTCACTACTCACCGAGAGTGACTACTCAACCATGCGTGGCGTGTGTGCGTGCACACACACGCATGGTATTGCGTACTCTATTCTCGGCACAAGTAGGGGGATGGTCAGACGTTGTGCCTTGAGGTGCCAGAGAGATGTATGGATAGTCGTTTGGTGTTTTGACTGGTGGTGGTTCTAGAGATAGTACACCAGAAACAGCAAGCACCTGGCGTCCGGGCCTTGCATATTATGCATATTTCATTCCTCACCGTCTATCCTGTCCGATCGTGACTCAAAATGGTACCTTCCTTATATTACCGTTTACAGGGGTACGAGCATATTCGACCGTACCATGGAATAGCGTGAAGCAAGGTGTTCGTCACAGGGAGACACGCTTTTCGTATAAAACGTGTTCAGCCGTTACTTACTGTCTTCTGGGAAAAGGTTTGATTGTCCAAACTCTCCGGCTCTGGAGAGAGGACAGCCGAGGTCGCCGGCCAAAGCAATGACGGCCATCGCAGCACGGTTTTGCCCTTGGGGAGTGATCAACGATGGCGCTGCAGACACGAACTCTTTGCTGGGCAGAACGTCGTCGTTGGGCTGTAGGAGCAGAGAAATAACGACTTACATTTATCAACGTCGGCGTTCCACTTTTACCACCATCGATGGAATATACAGTGCTTGACATTGCAAATGAATTAACAACATCTAACCGACAAATGAATTGTGAAAGTGGCCATCTTTTTTTGGCTGCATTGCCGACCGCGAGGGGGTGTACTTGTACACACGCAGGTCAGCAACACCGTGCCATTTGCAAGACGCAGACCACAGACCATCCCGCGGCAATTCACATCTCCCTTTCATTGCCTATTCAATAGACGTCGGTTAACCCTGAACGACCAACAACATGATTCCCTGTCCTATTGTGAGTCTCTCACCCATGTCGTTGCGGCAAGAGCCGTTTCCCAACTAAGATCAGTGCCTTCCGCCAATGCTTCGCCGATGGCAGTCTCGAGTTGTTCTTTCACCTCCGCCTGTCGAACACAGGAGACACGCGTCGCAGGATACGCAACGAGGAACATTCGCTCATTTTAGCAAAGGCTTGTTGTTTGTCGACAATGGTTGGACTTAGACCATGCGAACATGTCCGAGGGCGGCAGAATCACGGATCAATATATACATTCTCTGGGTGGTTGCATCTGCAGATGTACGCACACGCAAAAGGCTTCCGCCTGGCGTGAAAGTCGGTTTTAGTGCCACGAAAGCGATGAACAAGACACCCATTATGGGGAAAGGAAACACGCTAACAGTGCACCGACCGCACATACATGTACGCCACCAAACCTACCTCTTGGACGAACTGAACCCCACCGAAAAACTATTGTGATACACGTGTGTAGTATGCAAGCCGGCCCAAAATATCATGGTCTGTAGGCTAGCACAACAACCGCACAAATACCCTGCAGTGTGTCTTTCAGGGAGTGTGCCTTCTTCGGAGCAAATGATCCTATGCATAGATATAGATATGTGAACTGGCTGAGTCGATTCCTTACATGTTTTGACAATAATCATATGGAATGCTGCTCACAACCGTGACCACTCTCTGCGAAAAAACTAAAACCTGCTGGAGACCAGACAGTGTGAGATCGAGGAAGCCCACCCATGGACATCTATCTGCTGTATACAAGACAGCTTGCACTGGATATCTGCTAGAAGAGTACCAATCTGGGATCATCGTGTTCCGACATGAAGGCCACGAACTCGGATAGTAATTAGTGAAGACCCGAGTGCTGGCTAACTGGGAATCCCTCATGTGGGAAGAGTTTGACCAAAGTTCTCAGAAGGTGTCTGTAGTTGGCTATGTAGACTAGACGAGGGAAGAAATATTCGGATCTGATGAATACTCACTCCGCGTGACAACTTTCATGAAATGTGTGCGAGAAGGCTGTTTTGTAAAGTGCGATTGATTTGTACTTTTATTGCCATATCGAGGTCGCTGCGTAAAAGTTCGTGGTACGTATCGTCTACTACTGCTGTAGATAGGCATCGGAGTATGTGCCGAGCAAAGCGTGTATTCAGGGAAGGAAACGTACTGACTTTTCGCGATGACATCACGAATCGAATAGAATAAGCAAAAAATGATCGGATCGTCTTTCACCGTTCCGTGAAAAAACTAATGCGTTTTTTTTTCGTTGCGTTTTTTATAACACTGAAAATACGTTTGAAAACTGAGGGAGATTGCATGCCCGGTTTCGTTTTGTCATATTAAGAAAAAAAAAAAAAAGAAACATGCGAGAAAAAACCGGAGAGAAAGCACGTACATGACGGGAGGATTCTCGTTTCATACCTGCTCTGGTCCCGACAGATGTTCCCTGACTGCTTCGTTGTAGACCGTACACCATGCTCTGGGGTGGGCCCACGTCCGTCGCGAGGGACATGCCACCATGGCGGTTGCTTCGAACTTAAACCCACCCGTGAACTGTTGGGCGACGTGTTGCAGTGTTTTCTCCGTCATGATGTTCGAGTTCTTCCCCAGGTTGGTGGAGTCGCCTGTCTCGGGTCCGTTCATAGATGAATTGTCGACGTGTCGCACAAGCGTCTTGGGGGATATCAGCATAACGCAGCCACCATCAGGTCGAGAAGATGCCATTTCGTGGAGTGCGTGTAGTAGTGTGTCTGAGAGGGGAACACGCTGAGCTAGAAGCTAGAAAACGATTTGTGTGGATCAGACATGCGCAGGTGTAGATCCGCAGACCAAAATAAAAAAGAATACGGTGGAGGCGTGTTGGTTCGAACAACGGTGGTTCGGTTTTCCGGAGGGTCTCCCCAAAGAGAGGGCATCAGGGTCTTTTCCTGCTCTCGCCGAGCTCCTCTCGCCAGCAGCAAGTGCGTGCCTCACTGTGTGGGAGACGCGTATCCCCCTGGGTTCAAGGGCAGACAGCTGAGGGGCAGACCGTCATGTGCAGCCTGTTTGGGGGTTCACGCGGCGGAATGGAGAGAGGGTAGAAGGGTAAGGGCCAGATGACCCAATTAAATGTATGCATAGCACAAGGCCGGTGCGCCGGGCAATGGAGCCCCGGCGGAGGAAGCACACACCGTTACGCAGGGGGTCTACAGTACACTCTGTGCGGTAAGTGCTCCAGTGGTACTCGTTTGGAATGTATGTCTGCCTTTCCGCACCTCTAATCACCCCAGGAGACGGCAGAAATTTTCGCGCGAGCTTGTAATACAGCTGTAGGTTGCATGAGATACAGTACCACACCCCCTGGAACCAAAGCTTGAGCACTCCACGACGAAGAAGATGCTGAAATCGAAGGATACGTTGTCTGGCAGCAGCAGTAGCAGTACACGCGATATTTCAATGTGATGAGAATATGCACAATTCGTGGAGCGGTGTGGAATGTATTTAACACAGCACTACAGTATGTACACTTGCCAAACCTACATCGGTCGCCCATGTGACTGCTGTGACAGCAGTGTGCCTGCCAGATGCATATGAACGGAGTAGTCTGTATCAGGTACATGAAAGCTGTAGGGACTTTGTTCGGTGCTGCATCAGCGATGTGACGTTTCGTGCAATGTAGCGACGTGATTCGTCTTTTCCACCGCAGCACCCGCGCGATCCATACGTACACTGCTACATCCAATGGAGCATACATCGCAGGCCATGGTGAGCACACGTAGGACACCAGTATACCTCACTGTCGATACACGAAATTGATGCAGACGTGTGGTCAGGGGTTGATAAACAATCGCCTCCACGTGGTACACTCTAAGATCAAGTCTAATGTCACTCGAGACATCCTGTGATGTATGTACTTCTATTTTTTTGATGCTGCAGGACCGACCTGACGCACCTCTTGAGCCATACTCGTATTCTACGGTGCTGGACCTATGCGGACCCCCATTGATGCTGCTGAGCCTCGTAGGTCTGGCTGCGGTCAACCCGTGCCCGAGACGAGCGCGAAAGGCACAAGGTGCACCCTACAGTAGACAAATGAAAGAGGGGCGCAGCGACATTACGTTTGGGGTCTCGCTTGTTGGTCATGTATTATTACGTGTGCGTCCTTGCCCAGCCCTCAATCTCTACCTCCCTCTCCCCCCCTATCCGCGTGTTAAAGTCAATGTAGATTGTCGCTCTCGGGCGTGCGTAACGTCTGCGTTGTAAGCCGGAACGCCCCGCCAGTCCTCTCCCGGTCTCATATTTGGTAGTTCGACAGACTCGAATGGCAAGCGTGATTTGAGATTCGCATGTCTGGGGCGTCATTGCCACGCCTGCCTTCGTTGGCGCCCCAGCAGTTGTTCTTTGGCCGAATACATGTGTACCTTTAGTTCAGACAGTGAGGAATGGTTCGTAGAGGAAGCACGAAAGATTTTCAAGAGATGCGCAGTGCCGGTTGAACCTTTCGGGTGCAGGTGCTCCGATGTCCATCCCTGGAAAGGCGCCTGGCCGAACGGATGCCCATAAATGGTCTTGTTTCTCGGGCTACTGCGAGAGCGATGGAGGGCTCGCTGGTAGAGGTCGGGTTCTTGGAGGAGCTGTTCGGCTTCGGCATGCAGCTCGTGAGTTGAGTTGTTGTAGCACTCCCCGGCAGTGGCACCGGGTGCAGTATTTGGGTGTGTGTGTCTCTCTCTCTGTCGTTCCTCTCCACCCTCCCCGCCTCTACCTCTGTCCCTATCTCGCTCCATATATATCTCCCTTCCCTCCACCCCTCTCTCTCCAGTTATCTCTCTCTCTCTGCTGTGGCCGTGAGCCGTTTTGGTTTCGCGTCACCGTCTCGATGAAGATGTCGCTGCTTAGGTGTCGGTGCGTGTATTTTGGAAAAACACTTAGGGTTACGAACCAGGTTTTTTTATTTTGCCCCCCGCTCGATAATGGTGATCGACTAGATCATGTTGTGCGGAGTCGAGAACGTTCACTCCTCGCAAAGGGGATGGTCGCACCACGTTGATGGCCAAGCACCCTCGAGGCAGTTACACAGTGCATTTAACTGTCTCTGGAAGTGAAAGCAGGCAGACTTTTTCTGGTACCATTTCTCCTCTCTGCGGGTTCTTTGCCCGCCCTGTAGGCGCTGACCCTGTTGACACGCTTACGACCCCAATCGTTACGACCGTGTGGTGCACCTGCCGCAGACTTGGCACTCTGGCGGGATGCTTGCTTCGACACCAGCCCAGGCTGGCTCCCAAATCCACGGACAACGAGTCGAGCACTGGTGGTCGCGTCGGCGGCGGTGGCGCTTACCTGGTCAACATTGCCAGGTGTGGGAGAGAGAGAGGCTCGTTGTTCGTGCACGTCAACTGCCACACGAAGGTGGTACTTGCCCGTTAGTGCCAGCATGCTGCTACAGGCTGCAGGGTGGAAACACGTGTTGCTTGATGAGGTCGGGTCGTGCCGTGTGTGTTGATGCGAGTGCTTTCATGCCCAGGCCTCTGCCCTTCTTAGGATCGCTTTGGAAAGGAAGGAGGCTAGGTGTTGCTAGGTGTTGCTAGGTGCTTGCTGTAATACATATTCTGTTTGGTAGACCGTACGATGGCATACACACAGCGGCACGCTCTTCGTCTTTGTTGTTTGTGTCGCAAGAGCAGCTCGTTCTTCAGAACACAATCATTTTCCCTACCAAATTCTCGCGCCCCCCGTCGCCGCCGCCGCCGCCGCGGTTGATGCGTCCGCTCAGGTGAGCTATCGAGCGCCAGCGCCGGCAGCGGTGCAGCAACAGCAGCAACAGGTGGTCGGCGCACCGGTGCTCGGCAGCGGCGGGTGGGTGAGGCATAGGTTATGCCCTCTGGTACTTCGAATGACGGCTTGTGGGTGATGCTCTCGCTCTTTGGTTTAGTTCCAGGAATCGAACGGGCCTTTCTGTATACGCTTATGGCAAGTAGCCTTCAGCTAGCTAGAAAGTGCGTACGTGGCTCGAACTGACTACTGTGTTTGCCGCTCCCAGGCTTCCCTGGCCGCGTCCCGCTTTATCGTGGTGGGTTTTGTCGAAACGTGCCGGCCTCGTGGTCAAGCCGATGCTGTTGTCGTCGCTGGTAACGGCAAGGCGCCCGGAGGAGTGGGGGCGCCAGGGAAGGGGCGACCTGCTCGCGGACTGGGTCGCTGCACTTCCGGTACGACTTTCTTTTTTTTGTCGCCCTTGCGTATAGTGTTTGTGGACGGATAATGCTTTTTGTGAGGTTGGCTTGGGGAGCGCAGAGAAGGGGGCGAAGAAGAGTCCTCTCTTGTCCCTTGGACTGTGTTTGGACAGAGAGAATCGCAAACAAGCGAGGAGTGTGTACGTTGCTCAATAGTGTAAGTCCAATCTATTTCATCGTGAGTGACGGGGCTTCAGAGAATCCTGTTCTTTTCTTCGTTGGCTCAGACGATAAGACGCTACAGAACTGGTTCCCACAGGGAGACATGTGTGCGTGATGTTTCTCCCCGTTATTCCCTTTCCCCGCGTCGAGATTGAGCGCAGGGGGTTAGGGATGTACATAGGTTCTTTGGTTCTTTGGCGTCACCCGATGTACACAAGGCTCGCCACCGCGTGCACCAACAACGTAACACCTCCGATCGCGGGGTACCAGTGTCGACGAGGCAATGGCAGCCACGAGCTCGAACGCAGACGTCAATGATTAGCCTTTAGGACACGTGCAGCACACGGATTTTGCAACTGTTGGTTGCATGTTCTCGCGCAGAGTGCCGAGCTAGACAGACATACACCAGATGGTGACCGCGAGGGTCAGTACTGCCTGCGCCGCGACGGCCACCCTCTGCAGCAGAGAAGTGAGGAGGCATCACCTGTAAGACGGTTTGGACCCCTTCGGAAAAACGTGGTGCGTGGTTCCTCAGGTAGTCGTGCTCTGTGGAACACCTTCACGAAAACGTCCGAATGCTGGCCCCGCTGGAAGTACCTAGTGTGTTTTCGTAGACAAGACGTATCTTCGCGTCCTCTCACCTCTCCTCTCTGTCTCTCTGTCTCTCTGCCGCTGATTCTGTGTGTGTGTGTGTGTGTGTCTCTCTCTCTCTCTCTCTCCACCTTTCCAGCAGACTTCGGATTGCACGAACGAGGAGGTGAGGGCAGTGCAGGCCCTCCCTGACGGACGGCTGGCGTCGGCCTCGCAAGACCACACCGCCAGACTGTGGACCCCAGAGGACGAAAAGAGCGAGGGGGCCGGCGGAGTGTACTACGACATCGGAGGTAGGCGGCAGCTTTGTATTTTTTTACACTGTTATTGCTGAATAGCGAGTGTGTAGATCATTCTGGTCGGTTGCTTGGTTGCGTCACGAATGATGGTGCAGTAGCATTTTCTCCCTTCGGCGTCAGGCATCAATCACATCATGCTTTTTCTTGTGTCTGGCAAACGCTCGCTCGCTCGCTCTCTCTCTCTCTCGATAGACACCTTTGCGGACGACAACCATTGGGTCGTCTCCCTGGCCGCCCTTCTACCGGGGATTGTCCCCGAGTGTCCCCAGGGGGGCCTCGTGACCGGGTGCTTGGACAAGCTCATCAGGGTGTACGACCACCAGGGAAAGCAGCAACGGATGCTCCAGGGCCACGACGGCGGTGTCATTTATTTCAGCTGGACAGCGGCAGACCAGGTGGGGTACTCGTAGCCGCGCATGCCGTAGCCGTTAGACCGCTGACCTCGCATCCCTACAAAGCCGGGACGTCCCTCATGGTTTGCATGCCTCAGCGTGTGTCTTCGAAGGGTGCGAACGAGGAGACGGTCTCTGCTTTTTCGGTCGGAGGGTCCGCACGCAGGAGGTTCTGGTTATTTTATGGGGGCGGTACAGGGGAGTTGAATGGCAGAGTGCAGTTCAGGTAGCGGTGTGATCGCGGTTCGGCAAAGACAAGGCCGCAGGAAACGGGGCGTTGATTCCAGATGGATGGCAGCAGCAATATTGGTTGGAGAGGAGGGGAGGGAGGCAGAGGGGTCGTCGCGGATTGTGTTCGATCGCAGCTTACGGGCGGGGTAGAAGCGGCGAAATATTTCCAGCAGGGTCACCTACAGCATTCGCCTGGATAGTTGAACTCAGGAGTGGAAAGGGGGTTTCTAACTGGCGAGTCGAGGCATCTCGCATTCATTCTCCCCCGCCGCCCCTCCCCCCGCTTTGCACACGAACACATGGAAACGGAAAATCGGAACTTGTGACTTTTCGGCGAGGCGGCTCATTAGCGGGAGCTGGGGCGGCACGGCAAAGGTCTGGGACGTGGCGGGAGGGGTGTGCATGGTCACGCTCGGAGGGCACGAGAACGGGGTGTGCGTGCTCGGCTTGCCCGGCGGAAAGGCGAGTTTGTCAGCCCGCCTGGGAAATGGCGCGGTATGGATAAGACCGGTGTGGCGGGCGGGGTCCCTGCGTCCTGCTCAGATCGAGGGCCAACCTACAGGATATGGTGTGGCATACTTAGTTGGAATGAACAATGGATGGCTTCGCAGAATGTTCTCGATATGTTTCAACCACACACACACACCTCCCCAGGATCATGTTTGAAGGGGATGTTCTGTCGCTGGGGAGATTATTCCGGGGCGTTCAACAGGTATTGAAACTTTGACCGAACGTCCATCTCCTGTCCATCTCCTTCCCCCCTCCCCCTCGCCCGCCGCAGCCCGGGCTTCGCAAATTGAGGTGGCGACTGGCTCGACGGGGCGCCAAGACAGCGGGCAGGTGGTTGATTTCCAGATCCGCATCTCGAGTGAGACCGGGCAGCAGGTGTGTCTGTCTGTATGTCGATCCGTGAAAAAGCTGTGCCGCGATGGTAGCGACCGCTGTTTCTTTCGCGTGGACGTGAAAGTGGAGGGGATATTGGTTCATCCGCCATGGACGGCCTGGCCTTTGATCACGAGGTCTTTGGTGCCGCGTGTCTTGCTCTTTCGTGGGACTGCTGTGTCCTAGCTTTGGTTGCGTCCCTCAATAATAGCGCCGATCATCTCCCCCCTACAACATGTAGATGCACCTGACCGGTGGCTCACTGGTGCCTGTTTTAGTCTACGTCGTGGGCTAGTCAACAGTGATGGGTAGCGGCCTGAAAAAACCACCTGTCCCCCTTCCTCCTCCCTCCCTCACTGAATACGTGGCGAGCGGAGGATGTGCGCCACACCCTAGAATTGTAGCGGACACGGACGGTTTCCACAATCGCGTTGCGCATGACGATAGACATATACACACCCCTACCGGTCTAGAACCACGCATGGCAATGAAAGGGTGATGACCAGCGTCTGCTTCATCCTTGTGATTCGTAGCCTGGGCCGGCGATATCGCTCTGTCCCGGCATTGTAGGGATGCGAGGTCAATGACTGCGGCACGCGTTTACGAGAGTACCCCCCCCCCCCGTTATTGATCCAAGTCTTACAATAAAAGTAGTAGGTCACCAATGCCCCCCGTCCCTCGAGATTAAGACCCTCAGGGACCACTCGGGTCCCGTCCGGTCGCTGGACCTTGCCCCCGGGATGGGTTTTTGTCCACCCCTAACGACGGAAGCGCCAGGCTTTGGTCTTTGGACGGCACCCCCCCTGGCGACGATGCCCCACCCGGCCACGAGGGAGGTGCAGCCGGCCTTCGTGCTGCAGGTGAGCACACCGCCGTAGTAATCTGAGAAGGCATTTGAAGAGGATAGGAGAGTGCTGACGGCGAGCGTACGCATGTAGCAGAAGAGATGAAGGGGAGAGGAGAGTGCTGAAGGCCAGCGTGCGCGTAACAAAACAGAAGAGGACGGGAGGAGAGAAGAGAAGGGAATTGAAGAAGACAAAAAGAGCGGGTGTGCGCTCACATTGTGCATGACTCCGTTATTGGACCATTGACCACGCGTCCTCGCGAGGACGGAGTGTTGTTCCCACAAGATCGCTGATGGTCAACCATTCCTTCCTACTGTACCAAAGGTCGCTCAATATTGTTTCCGTGGACGATCGGGGGTGTCATGGTCGGCGACTTGCGGTACATCTGCCTGCCAGCTCTCACGACTAACCCTTGCCCTCCTCGGTTGTTATTGTTGCCGTTTTTTCCGTGTTCTTATGATGGGGTGGGGGGTTCTACACCGTGTGCAGGGATGCGTTCTGACTGGTGACGGCGGGGAGTCCGTGAGCGTTGACGAGAGCGGTGAGTGTATCGTCTGGAGGGGGTCGGAGAGGGGCCAGTCCAGCCTGCACCCCTCGGGGCTGTGGTGGTGCGTCTGCGCTCTTCCGAACGGGGACTTCGCCACGGGTTACCAGATATGGGGGAGTGGGGGAGGGGCAATCATGACCCATTCCGCGTCGCCACATTTTTGTTTGGGTTGGAATTCACCGACCTTGTGTTGCTGCTGCTGTGGTGAAACATTCGAACTGCCCCTCCACCATAGGTCTTGGACAAGCCCCCCTCGTGCCCCGCCCCGCCCCGGCATCTCAAGGAATGCGAGCGTCTTGTGGCTGGAACACACTTCAATTGCGTGACACACCAGTTGGATCTTCGCACGCACGTCCCCGCCGCCGCCTTGTCTCGACTTGTGTGTGCGTAGGACCACGTCGTGAGGGTGTGGACCAGGGCAACGGAGCGCGCGGCGCCTGCAGAGGTGGCTCAAGCCTTGGATCAGGCGGTCATCGATGGACGGACCAAGACCAAGCAGGTGTGGTTGGTGGTGTTGGTGGTGGCGGTGGTGGCAATGCTGTTAGTGTTGTTGTGGTTGGTGGTGGTGGTGGTGACAAGCTGCAAGTGTTGGTGGTGGAGATTATGCGGTTCGTGTTGGTAGCGATGGTCATGACAATACCACACACGTTTAGTCCTAGAACATCACTCGGGATTAGCGATTTTCGACCTACTTCGTTTGTCGACGTTTCATTACTTGAGTACATTTCGTGTTTGCCATGTGGTTTGCATACCAAGTATGCAAGTATGGCTGTGGAGAGATTGAGTTTGTCTACCTTTCATTACTTGAGTACATTTCGTGTTTGCCATGTGGTTTGCATACCAAGTATGTAATGGCTGTGGAGATATTGAGTTGCTGGGAGATTCATGTTCAGTGCGAATATCATGCGTTTTCTCCGGTTCCCAGAGATCGTCACTCCAGACTGTGGCGTCATGGTCCATGTGAGCCCCTTGCTGGCGTCGAATGCAGGTCGCCTAGGGGTCTTTCGCCCGCCACTCAGAAAGAAAATGGCCCCAAAAATGAACCCCTACTGTGGCATGACTCGCGACAAACGGGCGTCGGTTGTCGAAGCGGACGCTGAAATATAAAAATGGATGAAATGTGGGTGGACAAGGCCAAAGATCAATATCACTCTCGAAAGCTCAAAACGGGGGCGTCGATGTGGTAGGCTACAGGGGTCGACAGTAGAAGACACGAGCTGCGGGGGAGCAACAATAGTACGTGCTCGCAGGAGCTCAAAAGGTGGCGGAAGAAAAACACGGTACGGCTACAGGGTAAAAGTAGGCAGCATGGTCGAGCGCAAAACGCAAATGCGTAAGCTAAAACTTATCACGCCAGCAGACGGCTGTAAGAGCGAGGTGTTTGGGTGGCAACGGTGTGCAAAAAGAAACAAGGCTATAGCGTCAGTTGCGCAAGAATTAGCACAAAAAAACCAAACACAAGAAACAAATACGAAAAACAAATACAAAAAACAAATACGAAAAACCAAATACCTGGTACAAGGTACAAACCAGTGCCAGGGTCGTAACCAGCCAGGGGCAGATTGCACCGTGGGGGGAAGAGCTGCTGACAAGGCGAGGGAATGTATGCAAACAATAAAACAAGAACGGTGGCCGGTGTCCAAACAAGATATTTTCACCGGGCAGTGGCTGAAGCGGGCGCTGTTGTGGCTCCTCTGGATTCGTCGACGTTCCTCCGGATGCCACGCATGAAGGAGGTGTTGCGATGTACTTGCAGAAACCAGGAACCGCAGACGGCGTGATGTTCGGAGCTGTAGTGGCTGGGGGCGAGGGGGATCTTGAGCGGCCCGGGGTCGTCGAGGAAGCGGACGATGTAGAGGTCGGCAGTGGTGGTGTGCCGCGATATTTTGCCCAACCACCAGAGCGCGTATTTGGCTTTGTACCACAAGTAGGCTCCGAGGGGTATGGCGGTGGCGCTGAAGCGGCGGATGAAGGTGTCGCGGGGGACGTAGGTGTAGCCGGGTGAAGACGCACGTTATCCCTTGGCGCGGGAGAGTTCGCGAGCAGCGGCTCCTTTGTATGCGCATGTTGCGGTAAAGACGGTTCTTTTGGCTGTGTCGATCCGGTGTGCCACACCAGTAGCGAAGATGTGGTGACGCGAGTGTTGTAGGTCGATTTCTCGTTCCCAGGAGGGTCGAAGCAGGCCTTTCCAGTGTGTTTGGTAGAGAGCGGCGAGTTCGCCGCCGCGTCGGCGGACAGTTTGGTAGCCAGTGATTTTCTCTACTTGAAGGCGTTGAAGGGCGTGGAGACGTCATCCTCGGTAGCGTGGTACGGAGGGGGTTTGGTGGCGTAATTGTTGAGGACGTATCTTGTGAGGCCAGCAGGCAGGAAGCGGGGTATGTCAGCGTCGTGGGCGTGGTGGCACGGCTTGCAGCGTACTACGGAGACGCGGTTTTTGGCGTCGGCGCCGGGCATGTCGTTGGGGAGGTCCAAGTAGAGGGTTTTGTCGGCGATCGGGCGCCCATCTGGTGCTTTGTCGCTGGGGCCTACGGCAAGAATCTTGAAGGGCCCAGTCCAGTTCAAGGAGAGCTTGGCTTTGAGAACCTGCGAGTCCGAGGCGGAGGCAGAGGCGGTGGTGGAAGCTCCGTGGCGAATTGTCGATACCTGATTGTAGACCCAGACTGAGTGTCCTGTCTTGTAGACGGGTCGTCGGTGAAGTGCATCCGATAGTGACGAGTTCCTGCGCTCGATTTTGTCGACGTTGAGCGCGTGTTGCTCTCGAACGAGGTCGTAAGAGCGACGTTGCCTTTCCACTGCGAGTTTGTGGTATTCAAGTTGTTCCTTAGCCAGGCTTTGGTGTCCGCGGGCGTAGATATTGTCGAAAACGGTCATGGGGAAGCGAGCAAGTCGGCCGATGTGCACTTGGTTGGGTGCTAGCCCTGTGGCGGGGCTCACGGTGTTGTTGTACGCAAATTCCACATGCAGGAGGTGTAGATCCCAGTCATCTTGCCTCTCATTGACGGACACAGCTAGCATTTGAGCCATTGTGTGGTTGACGCGTTCCACGCCGCCGTTCCCGCAAGGGTGATGGGCGCTGGTGATGATTTTGCGTACGCGGA